GTTGAGGTTGGTTGGAAGATGGTTTATTTTGCTTTCCCAAACTAGGAACAAAATTAAACATTTCATGAAAACCAAAATAAAATGAGAAGGAGAGGGAGAAACAAAATCTCTGAAGACCTGCATATCCCTTCTTATAAAAACTACAGCATGAGCCTCTGCTGGGAACTTGCATGTGTGTCCACGTGTCACAGTAAATCAGCTCAGCTTTCCCTTCTGGGCTGGAGAGAGCATGAGAACAAAGGGCCAGAGCAGAAAGGGCAGCCATGGGGGGAGAGGAGAGCCGCACCAAGCCACAAAGAAGGCAAGGAAGCGCTGTGGTCAGGCAGGGGTGCGCCTGCCTGGGAAAGGGACGCTGGCAGGGGGCAGAGGCGGGGCAGGAGGCAGCCCACAGGAGCGAGGAGGAAGCACGTTGGCCCAAGGAAGAGCGGCTCCAGAACGATGACCCTTTGAAGGAACCATGAATTTCTTTAATCAACTAATTTCCGCGGTGACTAAAACGCCTCATTTGTCAAGGCTTGTTCTGGGCTGAAATTAAATAGGTGTAATTGACAAATGCTTGAATTTGGGTTCCACTCTGGGGAAAAAATACCTCTCCACTGGCTCCTCAAATATAATTATGGAAAAAAGACATATTTTAAGGGCTCTTCTTCCAATTCAATTTGGGGTAAGGTCATGACTTCCTTCCTGATCCCCCCAACACACTCTGACAATGGCAGAGATCTGGCTTTCTTTCTCAAGAGGGGCACTACGGCCACAGATGAGGCAGCTGTCGGGAAACTAGGCTGTAATCAGCTTTAAATGGCTCACAGCCTGCAGACGGCACAGACCCTCTTATTCCTACAGTAACAGGTCAGGCTGCTGGCCCTGGGATGAATGTGGGAGTGGTCTGAGTTGGTTTCTGTTTCAAACATCTTCCTTATGCAGGATCTCAATGCAAAACTTACATCACAGGTCCCAACAATTTAAATATGCACACAGAAGAGGGTACTTTAAAATTCCAGATCATGGCTTCAACTGCATGTAACATGTCACCCCCAGCATGACTTATAAGGACAGTAAATCAATAAAACAGTAAAAAGAAAAGTTAAAACACAACTGAAAATGGGTTTTTCAGGCGAGTCTGAAATGCTACAAGATTGCTAGTTAAGAACAGTATCCCTTTTCTCAACCTAAGTGTTACAGCCCCATCTCTTCACCAGCATCATAAACTGAGTGCCCATGTAACTTGGAAACTGAGATGAAATGTGGAGGCTATTGGGTGGGTACACAGGTAGCCAAAGATAGGAGTTCCTTCTATGCAGTAGAGCTATTTTGGTGTGACAGGACAACTGACCCACCCCCGGATTACCCCAGACATCTACCATAGAAAGATATGGACTAGATGAGATTAAAGTCACCATATCTGTACCACAAAACAAAACAAAACAAAACAAAAGAAGTTAAAAAAAAAAAAAAAACCAGAAGGCATTCACTCAAATCTTACAATGGGAGGTGGGAGTGGTGGGTGGGTGGGTGAGGGTGGGGATAGAAAAGCAAGGGGGGAAATCTAAACAGCAGGATACAACAATAAATGGGAAAAACAGCAAGAGAAAAAGCACACTAGGTTAATATAGGAAACTAGTTCTTTATTGAGAGATTGTATATTAGTATTAGTGGATTCTGTGTGTAACAATGTCATCATGCACACGATACAAAAAAAAAAAAAAAAAAG